CCGGTAACTGGGGTAGCGCACTTGCCCGGAAAGCGAGAGGTGCGGGTTCTAGTCCCGCCTGGGGCGAAAGTTTTGTTCACAACCCAGCATTCTTGTGAAACATTCGCAAGGCGAACTGCGGCCAAAAACAGCAGTTAACAAACAAAACAAGTCTTGCTAAAGCTTTAACCTTGCGGTCATTGCCGATATTGGCTAACCGGCTCATGTTATGCGTGTGAGTGCTGACAAGCTATGGTACGTATACCATGAAAAGCTGAGTTGGAATGAAATGGTGCCCCGGTAGCGTAACTGGTAGCGCACTTGCCCGGAAAGCGAGAGGTGCGGGTTCTAGTCCCGCCTGGGGCGAAAGTTTTATTCACAACCCAGCATTCTTGTGCTCTTCAAAGTCCTTAAAAAGGCAAATCCTTTTGTGTGGACGTTTTTTTTTCTCGTGAAATCTCATTCTCTTTATGCTTGCTTGACTGTAACAACACTAAATACTTTCGATAATAATGCTCCCGTAGAGTTTTAATCAAAGAGAAACAATTTCGATTTCGTATTGAAAGATTTCAGGGTTAGAAAACTTTCCTACACAGATAATGTTTCCTGTTAAGGTGGGTTTATTCGAGAAGGATGAATGTGCAAACGTTGACCATTAGGAAAAATGTTGAGGGAAACAGAGTTTCCAAGTTTTTGACGCGATTTCAGAACAAAATGATATCTTTCGATTACGATTTTCGATCTTGGAAAAAATGTGATGCTCATCATGTTCTGGACTTGATCTTGTATATACCTGAAAAATTCGAGGCAATTGGTTGTCCATTGACTTTGCCAAATCAAAAGTAAAAGTTTTTAACCTTTTGACCACTACTGTATATCCGAAAAATTTCTTCAGAAATCTTTTGTTTCAGTCGTCCTTCTCATATGCAGCTGTCGCTGGTTGAGTTCTCTCCTTGCATTGTACACTCTAGTCCTTTCGCGACCTTTGCCAACGGTTGCATTCCATCGTCTGCTTCACAACTTATAATGTTCCACCTTAAATTTATACGCGCATTGTTTTTTGAATCCACCTCACATCTCGATCGCTACTAACATTGCGCACCTCACAATCACCAAAAAACGCTGGATTGGTCAGGATGAAGCTGGTGGGACGTCAGCTCTCATTCGCCTGAGCCTCTTGATGTGTTTCTTCTTCGTTTGGTGAAACTTCCATCACTCAATTCTTCGCTTTGTTGCACCTTTCTTTTTCTCGCGAAGGCAGGACGCAATTTGTCGGTGGAGAGTATCTTTCTTTACAGTTCAATCAGCTTGATATCCTCACGACCATATGCTTGACTGCTGTCTCTCTGCCTGAAGGTCTTCTTTTGTACGAAGAACTTGCTGCAAACCACTAGATCATAAATTGTTGCTGAGTCCGGAGCCCTCTTTTGATGTTCCTCACTATAATATTACCTCTCTACAACAGTACACGCTTGCTAGGCGTCCGCTGCCACTGCAGTCGAGGTGTGATGGGGAGATAATGATTTTCAGACCGGCATGACGGCCATCCATAGAATACTCGTTGCTCTCAATTTGAGAGCGATCGGCTTATTCTAAACTAAAGAATATCATTGTTCAACGTCTGCTCATTCAAATCCATTGCCCAGCCATGAGTCGTTAGTCCTGCTTAAGCAAAAACATAACCCGTAAATGGCTTCGCTACCGCTGAGGTTGAGTCGGTATGCCTAGTGTTCTGTTTATTTGAGTATAATCTGACTTTCAGCAGTTCCTCTTTTTTTTTGAATTTTTCCGGCGCATTTTTTGAAGACATACATAGGACTTGGATGCACCTTCGCTTACTGTATCAACAATTCCTTCACCTACCAGAAACCCTAGTCTTAGCTTCCTAATTCGTTCTCAGCTTTTCCCGTGAAATTTATTCGCCCTTCGTCACGCCCCTGCGCAACGACCACAGAATTTAGGCAGGGATTCTGGACCCATTTCCAAATGACATTATCATTGCATTATCACTGTTTTTTCGCAATCTCTGAGCATACCTGCTTGTTGCATTATCAACATGTTTTCCACTGTTTCATTCTCTCTTTGTACGAACTGTTGGCTCAGAAAAAAGCTCAATGTTCTTTCATTCTATCATGTGCCACTGTAAAAAGGAACCTTACCGATAATCAATCTAAAACTCAATTTACAGATTCTTTTCCTTTCACTGAGCGTCTGCTGTCTCAGTTATGACGTTATCAACATAGGAATGAAGGTGAGCGCTGAGCGAGCAGGCAGCTTTACCAAGTATTTTAGCAGATCGTCGTAACTGTCTGCATTCTTTGGGAAAGTCACAGCTTGTATTATATGCTAGGTTGAAAGCCAAAATATCTCTATTTCGTTATAAAAATTGCATTTTTGATGAAAATTGATGCAAAAGAACACTTAACCTGATGAATCCATCCTGTCTTTCATATTCATTCATATGCATTACCCAAATAGTGATTTAACACGTTGGTAACAACATAATTTCTGGCTCATTCGGCGGCGTAGAACCGGCATGAGTTTTTGAGCGACCGCCTCAGGCTCCATAAGCGGATTTCGCGTGGTGAATCCGTTAAACGTTGTTGACTCACAACTAGGTCATTATCTTCCGCTGAGTAGAATTTACCCAGGGTGCAGAAGTGGACTTGACTGAAAGCTGTGCCATGACGAAATAGCAAAGCTTGTCAACTCGGCTGCAATGGGTCTTAGAAGAATTCGGTTCTTTCTTCTACTGCCCTTTCGTCCTCTACATTCATATAAAAGGAAGTAAAACGAAAAATTGTCTAGACTGACGATTTCGCAAGGTCCAGAAACCCATATCTAAGTTGAAGCTATGCTACGCGCCACTTGCGTTTTAGCTATGCTAAAGGCAAAAAAGGAACTTAAAAAAAATGAATCACGCTTGCGCGAAAAAATGAAATGAATGTAATGTGTGCAGGTGCTTCCCGTCATGTCGACTTCCCGCCTGCAAAGTGCAGTGCGTATGTGCCGTCGCTGTCGTCAGCGTGTAAAGACGACAAAGAGTTTGATAATTTCGCCAGTTGGTTTTCCTTTCCACATGAGGAATTTACTGCAACATCTGCATTAGGCGCGCTGAACGATAGCCGGATAGGCATACTTAGTGAACTCGGGAGATGTTTTCTGAGGCATCGACTGATTCATAGTGCATTAATGCATGTGTGCCGTGAAATCGAAATTGCTCCAGGAGTATAAAAATAGCATTTTTCAGGCTCATCATTTAACATTATCCTTTACATACACGACACTATGTGATCTCATTCTTCCAAAAGCGCTCTATATAGCAATGACAATCCCGCTGACCACCGTTTGGATTGCATCGCAGGTCATGCTTATTTTCATAGTGGTTGAGAGATGGAGCGCTGTCTTCTTTTATCGCGACTATGAGTTAGGCTATAGGAAACTCGGACCAACGCTGATCGCAGCGGCGGTAAGCAATTTACAATTAGCATTCCGCTTTCCATGTGACCTATGTATTGTTATTATTCATTTATTGTATTCGTATCTACTATTCAGTTGCTTGTCACAACTTCCATCTGCTTTTCATTATACTGCGGCGAAACATTTGACGGTCCACAGATTAATGGCCGTGTGCTCCCGAGCACGAGATATTTCCAAGGAAATGTTTTGATCTTCGTTCTATTAACTACAAACTTCATCGGCTTCACGCTAACAATCGCACTTCGCTTCGTTCAGCCTAAATGGCAGATACGGCAAGTTTTGAAAAAAAAGCATGAAAGCAATCGCTTGCAGTTTAATCGCTTGAAAACGCAACCTAACGCAGGGGGAGAACGCTTTACTTCGTCTGCAGTATAGACCCTAGAGGACAATCACAAATGTGGCGTTCCCGTGCACGGAAACCAACCGACAAGAGCGCTTGGGCCTTGCAAAGTAAGCTGCCAAGCTGCAGATTTTTTCTCTTATCAGGCTGTTGTCTGGCGCTCTCTCATCTGTAGCGCTCTCTCGCCTCATACTCTCTCGCGCTAGTCTCTCATTCCTTAGCACAGCCGAAAGGTGAGTGAGCCCTCAACCTGAGCGTTTTCGACGGATTCTTTTCCTTTTTTCTTCACTGCCGGCCCACTTCGCACCGATACATTCGCATTCGTGTGCAAGAGCCACACCAGTGTGATCCTGGGGCATGCGTTCAACCAAGCAGTGATCGCAATTAGCGACAGGGGAGTTTCTGTACTAACGCGGCTCACTTGTGCCCGCTTCAACTGCTTATTGAAGTACGCGAGCGGAGGACATCACCATCGTCTCCAACCACCTATGATGGACTCTGGCTCTCGCATCAATCACACTAGTGCTTCCAGGATTTCACGCTGCTTCATTGCTCGTCCTTCCTGACTATCGGATTTGGGAACTTTCCATATTGTTCAGTGAATGCCATATCAAGAAAACATGAGGTCACAATGGTATGGGGTATCATAGGAAGCATCATTCCCCATGCTTCAGCAAGTTGCTCGAAAAAACTGCATTCACAGCTTTGATGTTCTGCCAGCTGACTAATTACTTCTCTGATGCGTGCAGTGACAAGTCCGTGATACGTGTAGTGGGAAATGATGCAACATAGCCGTATGGTTTATTTACACATGCTCAATGTTTCTGCCAAAAGCTTTTCGAAGGACCAATTAGTGTCGAAAGAGAGAATGCTTTATAACCCGTTCCCCTCGATCACATATCCTGCCAGGTAACAATTAAAGTATCCTTACGTTACGGTAGTTCTCTGTCATTCAGTTCGTGATCAAACAGCTCATTGTATTGAGAGAAGAGCGCTATTTCTATGTGTTCCCACTACCACGGTACTTCAGGATGCCACTGTCGTTAAAGTTCCAGTCGAAAGAAAATGCAATTGCGTCCAACTTGCTCTTCTGGATCTCTACAATGCAATTCACTGCATTCTTTTTCACACAAATTGGTGCTTTATACGTTAGGATTTACCTATCCAAACACCCCCTTTCTCCAGCATATAAGGAGAACATTGATGTGAGTACATTTTTTTTGCGATTTGGGTGCTCTTAGCGATGGAGCACCTCCGATGGTGTCGGTATTTAAAATAACACCATACGATAAGATCGCTCGGGTGAAGTGCACGTTTGACGAAAGTAGAGCGGTTCGCATGTGCGCAAGATTGCTCGGCTTGCTGGTTTCTAGACAGAAGCTTTGAAGGGTAAGGACCCTGTGGGGCGCAAGCGCACGGGGTTCCTCCAAGAATTTGGCGCCATGGACCATTTCCGCTCTCGCTCATAATCGTGTTATCTCGTCACCAAGTTCCTTGCATCTCTTAATCTGCTTATAGAAACCCCCGTAGCTTAGCTCAGCGGAAAGAATTGCTCCTATTTCAGAAAAATGCACAGCACCTAGTGATTAGTATCCTTGAATCTAGTAGTTCGCAGGCGTAAGGCATTTGTGGAATCGAGTTTTTTGAAGAATTAATTCATACAATTGATGTAGCGCGTGGCTAGCTAGCATTATTGTGTAATGATAAAAAGACATAGGGCGACAGGCTGATATAAAAACCTTGGGCGTCATGATCCTTCCCCGAGTCGACCGTTAGTATTTTTTTTCAACAAACGCCGATCGACATTGTTTTTGCAAAAAAAATTAGTTTAAAAGTCTGAATACGTTTGAATAATGCTGATAGTTTGCTCCTCTCTCATAGATTCCTGCTTTAACTAATCTTTAAGCTTTTCAATTTCTACACATTGGCTTTGCCTGCATTCTCGACGCTCTACTTGGTGAGGGTTAAAAGGCAGCGCATTATGGATATCAGAAATAATGTCAACGTGAGTTAACAGTTTTTGTCCACTTGTCACCTAGTTCTTTGTGTGTCTCTGAGTTCATCTTTTACGCTTGCAGATGAAAGTGATCGGAAACGATGGATGGATGAACTACTCTTCCATATTTCAAAAACAGTGGATGTGATGGTTTTCAAAGTGCTTGTATCAAGTAATATGAAGCACAAATACAGTTTCAAAAATGAAGAACAAGGGTAATAACCACTCGAAGGCACGAGTAGAGTTGTTCAAAAATTAGACAAGAATTGCGATGAGAAAGTTGAAGTGGAGTTAAGTAAACAGAGCTTCAAAAAACACTGAAATTTATTCGTGAGAGTAGCTGTGGTATACCGGAGCGGCACGGTTCAGTGAAGAGAGAAAAACACGAGACGGCGCAAGCGACACTGTACTGATATGCAGGATACCAACTGCACACACAGGGCAAGTACATGGTGGCTTTTGGTCCGCGATTTACCCCCTATCCGCCACCTGGGGTCGCGCCACGTAGCCTCGCCACCAACCGGCTCGAGATCTTTCAGTGAGAGAGGACCCTCAGTGAAAGAGATCCGTGGTGGAAGTGAAATAAGACCAATTAATCAGCGTCTAACCTAGCTCTGACAAAAATTCGATATTGGTCCATATTCCAATTGTTGAGGCTCAACAGCCTTTGCTTTTTTTGGTAAGAGCTTAGGAATGGAACATGCTTACGTGCTGAAACATTTGGTTGAACTGATTGCACGCTCTATCAGGGAAGTTGTCGCTCATTACCATTTCTTGTCACATGCCATTAACACCTGGCCCCTTGATTTTGCCAGTGATAATTATAAGGGACTTGAAGACATTCGCATTCAGGCGCTCCTTGTCGTTCCTCATCATTTGTCATCACTTGATACCGCTCACTGTCAGTGTCCCGTCCTACCCCCATGCAACATGTATTGGGTTGGTGCATAATATCGTAGCGCTTGCATTTTTCATTTTTGCACGCAAACGTTTTGTGAAGAAATTAAAAACATAAAACTAATCAGGGATGTCCACTTTGCCATTATTTACGACTTTTATCCTATTTTGCAGAAAGTCACTGGATTTGGAATTGAAAAAAAGATGTTGGGCTCGTTCTCGAAGTCCTCATTATTTCGCAATTTGTACGACATGAATACGGTCTTAATTTGAGTGAAATATGTAGGGTTGGTTAGAGAGAGGTTCGATAAGAACAATGGATTCTGAAGAACTTTTGTTTTGACGGTATTTTTTTCTTTATGTGAACTGAAAAATAACAGCTGTCGAAATGCCGATTTCTGCCGTCTGGATTTTCCAACTTCTAAGCATTATGTATGAGTACAAATATAATTTTGAGGGAAATGACGAAGTAATTTTTGTAGAGCGAAAAAAGCACTTTCAAAAGGTATAGGCGATTTTTAGGGTTTCTCTTGTACTGATTGAATTTATACGCCCAAAAAAAAACGCTACGATATTATGCACCAACCCAATAGGAGCTTGGGTTTTATTGTCACCACGAAGGCTCCAACGAAATCAGTTTTACTCAAAGCTCTTAACTTCCTTATCAACGGTTATCATTTGTTATCACTTTTGATCAACCACTATCCGTGTTCCCGTCCATCCCCTATACCACATGTAAGAGCCAAGACTACCATTATATTATTACC